TTTCACAAAGCCGATATCATGAAAAAACTCCTGAACAGGTGCTGCTCTCTCTGTCATGTTCTTACCGTGCTTGCATCCACAAGGAGTTGTCTTATTATTTACATAAACATGGTTTGTTTTATTTAGTCTCCCGGGGGGTTGCCAAGCTAACATGGGGATTTTATTTTTGTATATGTAAGTCAATATTAGATGTAAACATTTTGAATTGCTTGCAGAGTGATATTCTAACAGCTTAGGCACTGAAATTATTCTTGCATTATGCTAAGTTTTGATCTTTATCATTCGACATCTTAAATTCTTTCCTTTTCTCATTTTCTTTCAACTCCCTATATTTTTGTAACCTAGCTTTTTACAGGTTCCAGATTAGTTTCTCCGATAGGGTTTATGCATACTGGTAGCATAGCAGACAAATGGTTTGCCTATGATCTGGTTTATCACTGAATGATTTCTTTGCCGGTAGAGGTGGTAATTTTATGTTATTGTGCATGCAGTTATTAAATAAAATTGTATTTTTTGTTTGTTATACTAGTTGGTATGAGTGAATCTTTTTCGAGCATTTTTCTTGGTTTAATGCTCTTAGATTTATATTTGTCATAGTTTGCTTGTTGTCCAAGGACGAGTCCCCCTCACTGGTGCAAGTAATTGATTTCAACAGGAAAGACTAGAAAGGAGACGCCAGATGCCATATCATATGCACATAAACCTTGAGCTTCTCGAGTCTGTCCATCTCATTTGTGCAATGCTGCTGGAGGTCCCCAACATGGCAGCTGATGCTCTTGATGTCAAGCGCAAAGTTATTAGCAAGAATTTTAGGCGGTTGCTTGAGGTAAGTGAGAGGCAAACTTTCACTGGGCCTCCTGAAAATGTTAGGGACCATGTGATGGCTGCTACACGGGCACTTAGCAAAGGAGATTTCCAGAAGGCCATCGATGTTATTGAGTCTCTTGATGTCTGGAAGCTCCTCAGAAATAGAGATGGTGTTCTTGAGATGCTTAAAGCGAAGATTAAGGAAGAAGCTCTGAGGACCTACCTGTTTTCCTACTCGTCCTCCTATGATGCACTTGGCTTGGACCAGCTGACCAAAATGTTTGACCTTTCAGTAGCCCAGACTCGAGTCATTGTCAGCAAAATGATGATTAATGATGAGCTACATGCAAGCTGGGACCAGCCAACACAGTGTATTGTCTTCCATGATGTTCAGCACACAAGGTTGCAGGCTCTAGCATTCCAGTTGACAGAGAAGTTGTCAATCCTTGCTGAAAGTAATGAAAGGGCAACAGAGGCAAGAATTGGTGGTGGTGGTTTGGATCTGCCTCAGAGGCGGAGAGATGGCCAGGATTTTGCTAATGTGGCCGCTGCAGGTGGTAAGTGGCAAGAAAACTCTTCTTTCACTCAGGGAAGGCAAGGTTCTGGCCGTTCTGGATATAGTGGTGGTGGTGGGAGGCCACAGGTGTTGGGCCAAGCTGCCGGGGTTGGCTATTCAAGGGGAGCAGGCAATTTGCGAGCAGCAGGTGGATATTCTGGAGGCGGGCGGTATCAAGATGCTCCCACCCGCATGGTTACTCTCAACAGGGGAGCCCGCGCTTGAATAGCTTTTTATTTTTGAAAGACTCTGGGACCTATTTTCAACTTCCGAAACTTTTTTTTATCTATTTGGAACTTCAAGCATGCAGTATTTTGGGTATCCAATGGCGGTGTAATCCTTAACCTTTTTCAGGTAGCCCTGTTTATGATTTTTTAAATTATATGTATCTGTCAAATAATTTTGGTTGATTTAGTACTGTGCAACAAATTAAGTAATAGTTCTTTCATACAAATAATCATGCAGCTGCTATGTTTAATTTGGTATAATGATAGTGATACAGGTAAAGCACGTGATGTTCTTCGATTTCTTTGTGGGGAATTCTAGCAGCTGTCCACTTTCTCAGTAAATTAAAGAAGATTTGCAATTTTAGTGAAATAATACGTGAAATAGTATAATTTGCGTTTATCGTGATTTTAAAATGTGATATAAAATTATCATCATCCATGGTTATCAGCGAGTGATAATTGGTCACAGAATTCATGGATAAATATTAATTATCTATATCTACTAAACCTTAACTTAAAAAAAATCTAAAATTATTAATATAATTAACAACTACTAGGTAAGTTGCTGTGATTATGAATCGTGATGGGCTGCAATTGTATTGTTTTAAATCGTATGGGGTTAGTATTGATAAATTCAATAACAAATACTAAAAAACGCACCCTAATCGTGATTATGAATCGTGATAGGCTATTTTAAATTCATTGAACCCATACGTACCTGTCGACCTAAAATCAATTCACTTGTATAAACACGCACCCTAATCTCAAAAACACAATCTCAATGAAAAACATTGACTCCACCGAATGGGTACCTTGAAATATTGAATCCAACATCCGGAGAGTATCAAAATCAGCCGAAGATCCAAGTTTATATTATCAATGGAGTGTCTGGTTTATGCAGATCAATGTAAATATTGTAAAATTAACTCCTAATTATATGAGTGGATGCTACCTTTCTGCAAGCGAGTGCTTAACCATCGCTATTATACATGATACTATAAGAAATCAATATTTCATTATTTATGTTTTTAATGTTTATCAACACACAAGTCACTGTAAATTGAAATAGTATAATAATATGATTATTATTGTCAAAATAATATTAGATATGTAGTTGGAGTGAGCTTTGTTTTTCACGAGTTATATTTAATATTGAAAGAATAGTTGAAGATAGAATGATCTGTTTGAGTTTTTTAGAGTTTGGCACTAAAAAATAGCATTATTGCTAGACACCTAGTATCGCAGTTAAACATATCTGTCAGACCCTAGATGCTAAGACTAGACCCGCACACCTGGATTTGACATTACACATGGTTACCAACCCAAGCAAATATATCTTCATTATTATAAACAAATCACCACAAAAAACTAATTTAACATTTTAGATCTAAAAATTCAAATCATGTCTTCCCCTATAATTTAAAGTAAAGAAAAAAATTATTTTTTTAATATTTTTGAAATACAATAACAAACATGTTATAATAATCATGTTTTTCTCTTATAAATCTATAAGTAATAAAAATAATTTATAAACTATAATAATTAACAAAATCAAAGAAATAACACAACTTAATATTGCAACCAAGTTGTGCTACTCTGATTGAAGCTTTTTAAAAATTTTAAAAGGGTGTGAAAACATCACATCTATTAATATTTTAAGTGTTTAGAATTAAGTTATTTCGAATCACGTAAGCTTATTTGCCAGCCGAAGATGTGCTACTCCAATTGATGTTATAGTATATTAGGTCTAACATGGTCATCAAACATATATTTTTTTAAATTATTTTTTAAATTATAAAATATTATTTTTACATTTAATCTTTTTTATTGTTGATTTGTTGTGGAGCACGGAATAATAAACTAGTATTACATTAGCCTATAATGATGATTTATTGGTTAAGGGGTAAAGCAAATTTTTCTGAGATCATGGGTCAAATCTCATTTTTTACATATATATATATATAAGCCTGGTCTAGTTTTAAATCAATTTAAGATGCAAATTGTAAGATGAGTAAGTTGATTTTAAAAAAAATATTTTAATTATTTTTTTAAAAAAGGTCAAAATAACTTAATTTTATTTTCAATTTAAATTAGATTGACTGGGTTAACTTCTATTATATTTAGCAGCTTAACAATTGGTTAGAATAAGATCTTGAATCAATGGATTCTTGGGTTGATCCACGAGTATAATAACCACTATCTTTAAGCCTCAAACGGGTCTATGGATCTTAACAATGATCCAAGTTACTGCTCATAGGCAAAAGCACAAAATAAGAGCAGCTTCAATCGAGCAGCTAAATGAGAAGCCAAACGTTCTTTGTCTTTTATTTCTTCATTGTTTGCATTCCAATGAAGGAGCTAAACAAATAGTCAAAATGGTTATTTGTTTCCTTAACAGCTATTTCTACATTTAACTGTAGAAATGACCAAAATGATAGTTGTTGGGCAACGGCTATTTGTATAGCCATTGGCCAACAACTTTTTTTTTTTTAAATATAGAAGAAATTTTCTATAAATACATGAAGAAAAAACTTATAGTTTTAAATTTTTGTATTGTGCCTCACCCTTCTCTCAAATTTAAAAAAAACAAGAATCAATTATTCTCCAGTTAATTATTAACATCGGTTGTGTTAATTAACTGAAATTAAAAGGTATGCTTGTTTAAAAGCTTTTTTTATTTTTTTTATATCTCTTGATTTTTTAGAAATTTTTTTGTTAATTTAATATTTGTGATGAGTTTTATTTCTTTATTATTTTATGTTTTTAATATGGGTTAAGGAAGACAATTTTTGTTTATGTTGTTATCTTTGATAAAATTGAGAGGAATTAATAATGGTAGTTGATATTGATAAAAAAAAATAGAGTTACATATTTAAAATTTAAAATGTTGGCAGTTATTTTTTCAAAATTTGAATTTGAATTTACTTTTAAAAAATTAAATTTTTAACAACAACATATAAAACTTAAAATTAAAAATATTCATATAAATAAATTTTAAATTTAATTTTAAATTATATTTTTTAACTTTCATATTACTTCATTAATTTTATATTACTTTTATAAATTACTCATATTAATTATATAATTAATAACATCATAATTATATTATATATAAAATATCTAAATTAGTTATATAATTATATTAAAATTAATTTAACATAAAATATATTAAAATATAAATGGATTTTCTAAATAATTTTTTTCTATTAAAATGCATATAATTCAAAAATTTATATTTATACTATTAAAAAACTATTTTTTTTTATTTGAATCTTTAATATAATATTTTTAATTGGAGATGCTCTAATACACTTTATTCTATCTCGGCCTATTTGCTACAGTTGGCCTCTGGCTCGACAGACATGAAATCTGAGTCCAGCCCACGGTCAGTTCCACTCTCGATAAACACATCACGCTGTCCAACGGGAAATACAAACGGAGCAAGAGGATGCTCTCGATTTCCTCTGTATCCCGTTGCTCAGCTCCCTCTTTCTTCCTCTCTCAAAAGCCAACAGCTTCAAGACTCCTCACGGTTCACTCTAGTTCCACAAGGGAGCCTAATTCGAACCAGAATCCAGGCGAAAGAATCAATTACTCTGGTGTAAAACTCGAGGAGTCAGTAGATTCTAAGTCAGGAAAGTCAAGACTTGATTCTTGGATTTCTTCTCGCATTTCTGGCATCAGTAGAGCTCGTGTTCAGTCTAGTATTAAATCAGGACTTGTCTCTGTCAATGGAAAGGTTATCGATAAGGTAGTTTTCTCAACACCTCTGCGCTAATCACTTCTTGGCTGGTTTTCTGGGATGTTAATGTTGTTGTTTGTTTAAGGTTTCGCATAATGTAAAAGCTGGAGATAAGGTGAATTGCGTAATTTCAGAGTTGCAACCTTTGAGGGCTGAACCTGAAAATATACCTTTGGATATTGTCTATGAAGATGAGAATGTTCTAGTAGTTAACAAACCTGCCCACATGGTAATCAGTCTTTATAATTTTAAAAAGGTTGAAACTTTTGGAATTGAAATGTCAATGTTGTAATTTGAATTTTGATTGTGTGATTTAGGTTGTTCATCCTGCGCCTGGTAATGCTACCGGCACGCTGGTTAATGGGATTCTACACCATTGTAGTCTTCCAACAGTTTCGAGCCAGGAAGTTTTGTCCGGTGCAGAAGATGTTTCTGATGATGATGATGATGAAGGGTTATGTTCTAGCTCACACGCTGCGTCTGTTCGACCAGGGATAGTGCATCGGTTGGATAAAGGAACTAGTGGATTGCTTGTTGTTGCTAAGGTATTTCCCTTCTTTTAACTAACAACCTTAGTGGGTCCAATGTCAGGTTTGCTGTTAAATTATGATAAAGTTTTGATAATTCTAGTGTACTACATATTGATGGTAGGATGAACATTCGCATGCTCATTTATCTGAGCAATTCAAGCTACACACAATTAAGAGAGTATATGTTAGTCTTACTTGTGGAGTGCCCGCACCAATGGCAGGACGTATTGACGTTCCTATTGGCCGAGATGTGAGTAACAGGATACGTATGGCTGCTATAGCCGAACCAAACCGGGGACAGGCCCGCCATGCTGCTAGTAGGTGATTATTGGCATTCACCGGTTCTGTCTTATATTGCTGCTAGTTGGCACCATGTACTTTCTTATCATTTTTTTGTATAGTCTCCTTGAGTGTTAGTCAAACTCAACTTTTTTGTGCTACATTTGTTTTAAGTTGATTGAATCCTTTATATCAGATATAAAGTGATTGAAATACTAGCTAGAGGTGGTTCAGCTCTGGTTGAGTGGAGGTTAGAAACTGGTCGCACTCATCAGGTACAAATAATGTAAAAGTTTCATTTTATTTAATGAATTGTTGGATACTGGAATAACAGTGAATGTGACTAGCTATTCAACTAGTTTATTTTAATCTAAAGGTTCTTTTAATCTCTGGAAGTCCCCTTATAATTTTCATGTACAAAAAATGGCATCAGCAAATGTTTCCTTTTCTTGATGCTTTTTTCATTTATATTTTGTTTTCAATGGTAACTATGGATCTTAAAAGTGCCTGTGTCTTCGAGTTGCTGAAATCTTTCACCCAATTCCTTGTTTATTATTGCTGCACTCATTTCCCTTCTGATATCTTCCTTGCTTATTGATTTTTGAATGATGATCAGCCTTGGACATAAACCTTTCACTATTGTTGACTATGTTTTTTTAACCTCTTTAAGCTTTGACACTTTTGTGAGTGATGGTTAGATTGTTTTTCTGAAGCAGATCCGTGCACATGCAAAGTACATCGGAATTCCTCTGTTAGGTGATGAGGTTTATGGAGGGACCCAAAACATGGCTTTGTCACTGCTTCGATCCAGAACCCAGCCTAGCTGTCATCGCCAACTTTCTTTATCACTTTCAGGACTAGAGAGGCCTTGCCTCCATGCTTTGGCTCTCGGGTGAGACAATTAGAGTAAGGTTGTCTGCTTGCTCCACTTTTTTATATAGACACCACAGGTGAATATGGGATTGCTGCTTTCCATTGTTTTGTAGGTTCACACATCCATGCACAGGGAAAGAAATACATTTTGCTTGCCCACCTCCTCCAGATTTTACAGAGATCTTGAGCCAGCTTCGGGAGATGGGAACAGAGAAGGTATAATGCAATTCTGTGCTGGGGCATCACTTTATGAATATTTGTGCTCCTTGGCAATTTTACAAGTTGAATGTAAAACTTAAAGTTTGGGGAGATAATCTAATCTTGTCTGCAATATGATTAATAGAATAAAATCTAATATAGGGTTACTTAAGTAGCATTCAATCCTGGCAGACCATGGATAGTTGTAACAAGCATATACATTTGCTTAGGAGTATCATTCTATTGCATTGTTGCACTTATTGTGTAATTCTGCTAGTGTATGGTATTGGATGATATGGTATACACTTTTCATCTTGATTCTTTAATCTGCAGGGCTCTATAAGCCTGCTTGAACAAATCCCAATAAATCAAATGACTCATCCTTTGACCTTTAACATGGATTTTCTGTGGCATCATTGGGTGCTCATGAGACTGAAGTTCTTGTTAATGTTGATCATGGTGTGAGCAAATAATTTAAGGAACTTGCCTGTCTTATGACCTACCGTTTGATGTGCAGCCTTCATTTAAGGAATGACAGAACTTATTTGACCAACAATGGGAAAAGATTTAACTGTGTCTGTGAGCGAGATGATAGTGTGAAGATATGTGCAAGTGTGCAAACACCAAATGGACAAATCCATGGTGAGGGCAAGATTCTGGCATGTTCATGGATGTAATGGGCAACAACAGTCTCTGACAGGGGTAGATCTTCATCACGAGGGATGGTACTTCTTCCTTCACTTCATGTTTCTCCCCAGAATAATCTGCTCAGTTGGCATAACTTCTGAAATACCTTATCTGGAAAATCTTGGTTTATCTTTAGATTGTTTTTCTAATGATCTGAGGATTTCTATTGATCCTCCGCGAGAAGCAGCATCCAAAATAAAACAATAAAGCATTCTATAGTGCAGCTATAAAACCGCAATCAGGTGAGCCAATATGCCATTGATAATTCCTAAGTTATAGGGCGGGTTCACCAAGCTAAGCATTCCAAGGCTCCATCGGGGTGTTATGCAGAGGAATTAATCTGCATCTTCAACCCTGTTTAGTCCCAATTTAAAGGGCGTGGTCTATAGTCTTCAAGGTCTACATCATTTTCACAGATGCGCTTGCAAGACATAGAAGCCAGCCTCTTCAAATAAACTTTAATAATGTGAAAGTATTGACATTGCCAAATTAAACTAAATGCTGGCAAACCTCTATAAGAATTTTATCAATACCACCGACTTCTAACCTAAATGCTGGCAAGAAGAGTGAAAAAAGTCCCATCAAATTAAAAAAAAAAATCTCCATGCCTGAGTTGTAGACTATCTGTTTGATTACTATGAGGTACCCGCCACTATGTTTCAGGAATTCTAAAACCATTCACCATGAACAGCAACTGATCCATATGGTACAGGTCTTCCTATCCTGCTGATAGAACAAAAGAAGAAAAATGTATTGTCAAATAATTATATTGCTAGAAGTCAATAGATTTAATTGATTTAGCAAATAGCTTCGATCATAGTCGTTGCAAAATGTTATTTGTACCAAAAAACAAGATTCATATTCAGGAAGGCAGGTTTTCTGTTACCACCACACACCCGCAGACAGATGGCAGCATAAAGGGTATCGGTAGCTATAACACCTATGGAGTTCCCGAAACACATGGCAACTCTGACTTTACACAACATTAATAACTCCTTTAGCCATCAAATATTACCTTTACAATTACAGTCTAGACATTGTATTCCCCAAGATGCAACTATTTCGTAGCTGACCACTTGTTCCCTCTAATCACAGGGCAGCTACCTGGCACAAGCCATTATAACAATTTTATTAGTGGAACAGGCATTAGCTTCCCTACGAAGTATTCAGGAAAGGAGCATGTCATAATAGTAGAAAGGAGGACCGATGAAATGTAAGACAAACTTCAGAAACATCGTTGATCCTCAATTAAAGCTATCAAACACGAGTAAACTGAATGATTACTAACCATCCAAACTTGAAGCATCTGGTGTCGCATCAGGTCTTGTGCTCCAGAAAAGCAATGCATTGCCCGTTTTTGGTTTCAGTGAAAGGCCCTGTTTGGCGCATTCAGACAACTCATTCCACCAGGGCATAGAGCTTATGTTTACGTTGGCATAAGGAAATACAGTCTCACCCCCTTCTTCAACAGCCGACCTTCATAAGGAGCAGAAAGAAAAGAGGAAAAGGAAAGGCATGAGTTTATTTACTGGATGTATATAAGCACATCCAATTACATGTTATCAAGAGGAAGACGGTCTTACAGATACATAAGAAGAGTAGCTGTCCGCTGGCCACCATTCTTTGTATTGAACTCGTCAACGAAATAGTCAGCGTGAGTCTCGTACTTCTGTCCATCTTCATAGTGGAGAACTTGAAGTTCCTCTCCATGCTCTGGTCGTTGTGAAGGTAGACTAGGCAGGCATCTTTAAATATAGTTCAGGAATATACATTAGAAACAACGAACGCTAATTCATCGCATATGATTCATTACACAACACATTGCATATTCCATCCTCAATAATGGTGTAAATCCCCCTTTTCCATTGATAGATTAAGGTTGTCACGTCATGGAAACCAAATTCTACAGGTCAAGAAACTATTGGATTAAGCATCCCTGCATTGGTATTGCAAGCTAAATATAAAAATTTGACTGCATTTGGATGTCATACCTACAGGAATAAAAAAGAAGTCAGCTATCCTCTTTTCTATGTCCCTGATGTCTCCATCCTGTCCTCTATCCAAGAACAGTCCAGTACTTGTACGCACCCTGTGACGAAGAGATGTAACCGTCAACAAATAAATTTAAAACTTATTCAAACCAATGCAAGCCCTTCTTCTTCTATATATGAGGTTTGGCAAGGTTTCTTAAATATTCACATTCTTCTTTTGATTGTTCAAAATCAAGATGATCAAGAACACAAATGAATTTTCCATCCACTATATATATATATATATATATAAATTGGGTTTTTGTTAGAATATTATACCACACAAATTAATTAATTATATATAATTTTGTGAGAATAAATTCAATTTCAAGAAATGCAGAGACAAAATTAAAAAAGAAAAAGAAAACCCACCAAGAAATTGTGATAAAGAAAAGCTCTAGGTACCCAAGAAAGAATTTCAGTCCACTTTTCTTCTTTCTTCTCCATTCGATCACCTTCTCTGCATCACCAAAACACCCCACCAATTAAAAAATAAAAATAAAGAAATCATTAAAGAAATCAATGTTTGAAATAATTTACCTCTCAGAAGTCATACGCCTATAAGAACTGAGATCAATGGGGAAAAAACCTTCACTGCTTGAACGAAGAGAAAAAATCCCAAGACCCAACAGCACCAAAAGAACAAATGTCAGCATAAATAACATGCTCAAGACCATCGTAAATGTCGACCATTTTATAGCTTGTAACCTCGAGTGTGTTACTTTCAACATTGTCTTTAAACCCTAAACTCGGCTTTCTTGAATATATTACAGCGATATTTGAGGTTTGGACCGAGGTGTCAGTGTCAGGGTTGGTGTTAGAAGATGGTCTGTTATGGTATAGGAAGTTTTCGAAATAAAGCTCTCTTTATTAAAGATAAATTTCTTGATATATAATTTGTTAATATAAAATATCTCTCATCCGATAAGATAAAATACTTTAAATTATGGTAATAAAATATTTCCAATTAATTATTCAAATTGAGAGCCTAAGATTCATTATAGTAAAAAAAAAAAATATACTTAGACTCTAACACTTGATAAAACTAAACTTAGAAATAATAAGTTTGATAATTTATCAAATTCATTTAAATTCATGTTTAATATTTAGTTGAACTCAAAAATAATAGATTTAGCAATTCACCAAACTAATATGTGATTGAGTTTAACCCTTAATTGAGTTTAGAAACAATGAATTATTACCTTATTTTTTGTTATTTTTTTAAAAGGATATATCTAAAGAAAAACAAGTTAACAAATTAGTTACTTCGATTGTTGATTTTATTTACTCGGAATCTATGATCAAATATGTTCAAGGAAAGAAGGATATAGTCAATTAAAAGAAGATTGTATTCTCCTCAAACAATTATTTTCTCCGTTTTCGTATAATCAAATGGATACCATCAAACTTTAAGCAGAAACGAATAGGAAGTAATATAGTGCAAGGGCCAAGTCAAGGTGAGAGGGTAGATCTTCAATCTTTTATTTTAAGAAAAAAAAATCATAACAACATCACACTGATAAAAAAAAATTCAAAAAAAAATTAATGGATTGAAGGTCGGCTTTAATCGGGTCAGCAAATTAACCTTTTTGTTTTCTTATTTTATTTTTTTTCAGCTCGAACTAATCAAGATCCTAGATCACCTAGGTCTTTATTCCAACAGGAAACTGAATCGGCCCAGTGAGAGAATAGACCTCCAAATACTATCGAGATGAAAACTGACAAAAGAACGCAGCAGGATTTCTGGAACGAGAGCTTCTTCATACAAAGAGGCAAGAAGGTGCACATTCTATAAAACGGTTCTGGAATCACTTTAATGGTGTTTTTAGACCCACCCCTCATCGTCATCAACAGCAGGATTCTGTCAAGCAGTGTTAACCGTTGCTCTTACATAGGGTTACGTTTGGAGGCCATGATGCATTTTTAAAGAATAATATAAATCTTCCTTGTACTTTCACAACTCACATGATAATTTAAACTTGAAATAATTATTTTACATAGAATTAGAGAGTAATGATCATGTCGCGAGTTCAACAGCTGGCCGCAGACATAATTCCAAAACTGCTGGTGCTTGCAAGGATAGGTTCCTATTTCTTCGTGGAATGAATTGACGAAAAGGTTTTGGTGCAGGATCAGTTTTCCCCTTTCTCTAGTGCATATGAATCAATCTTTCCTTCAAGCCCTGGGAGGCATCATTGCCTGTCATCCTTGCACCGTCAAGTGCACATACAACAACCATCCATGATCCAACTATCCTGTCTGTTCATACAGTGATCATTTTCTTTTTTCTGGCAGCAGACTCTTCATCCCAGCAAAGAATTCCAGTTTCTCATCCCTTCAGGCTATCGAAAATCGCAAATGGGAGCAATAATTAACTAGTAGAGAATGCTTAGATGATCTCGTTTAAACTCTCTTACAGAAAACCTATATACACAATTGAACAAGTGCAGAATTCCCTTTACGTTCAGCTATATCATAAGTATTGGTAATTACAGCTTCAGCATCATAGAATTTCTCGATGGTAAAATCCATTTGGGGCAATTGGATTGTTAAATAGAAGTGTGTAAAAATTCTTCTGCCCAACACCATTAACACAGAGTTAATGAAGCTCCTAATTGCACAAATTATTAAGAATCGGAGTGATTTGCAGCATATGGCATCAAATATGAAATCAAACCTTCTGGGTTTTACAAGAACAACATGTCATCGACTCCAGTTTTCAGTTACAAAAGAAAAGAGGAAAGAAAAGGAAAATTACCCTCATCGACTAATCAACGATTCCCTCCGCCGCCGCGACGTTCTTTCTCAATTTGCTCTCTCTGCTTCTCAACAAGTTTATCAATCGCCGATTCCACAGCCTCTCTGCCGCCAATGAGCAACCGGGTCACAATTTCCGGGTCTTTTTCAAACCGGGCCTCTTCAAATTCCTTCCTCGCATTCTCCCTCAATACATCTCTCCACAACACTCCTCGCGAATCGGGCCACATAAAGTACCGGGTGGCCCTCAAGATGTCTCGGTATAAATGCAGCGCTTCACGCCGCGTGCTGGTTAATCGCCGCTGATTCAGAATCTCTTCTTCTTCCTCGTCAAATGATTTCTCTTTCTTCACTAAATGTCTGTCTAATAGTTCTTCTAAGGTGTCTGGGCCATCGTGTAATAGACGTTGATTGAAAACGACGCAGCTTCGATTTATCATGTATAGAGAGGGAGATAGACTTCGCCATTTTTGCAGCTTCATAGCCATTTAGGCTGCCTCTTCGTTAGGACAAAATGTCAGCAATGGAGGTTAAGGGGATGTGGTTTATTTAGATGGGCCACCGGAGGTGGGCTTATGTTTCTTTCTGGAAATTGGAATATGCAGGCTTGTGGCCCATCAAAGAAGCACGCTTCCAGGTAATTAAGGATTTCCTCGTGTCTACTTTTACATAATGTCAGTTTAGATTTGGGTACTGATCGTTTTTAAATTATTTTTATTTAAAAATATATTAAAATAGTATATTTTTTAAAATTAAATCTATATCAAGATGATTTCAAAATATTAAAAAAATCATTTAAAGTAAAAATTTAATTTAATTTAAAAAAAAAAACACATTTACACCTCAAAAACTATATAAATACTCTACTCTTATTTAATAGATATTCATGTTTTATCTATCAAATTTTGAGTATTTATTATGTAAATATGTGTTTATTATTTATAATAACAATAATAATAACTTTGTTGTAAAAATTATATTCTTAGCTCGTTAAAGATTCCCTAGCTACGCCCTTGCCATCATTATGTAAAGCTAATCTCAGGGTTTCAATCCTTGGAATGTGCTAGATGTATTATTTGGAGCTAGCATGCATCTATTACTTTTTTTATAAAAACAATTCCTTAATCAACAACCAGTTGAAGATAACTTCATTTTATCTTACCAACCTTCCCATACAAAGATCTGCGATCATTAGACTCAAGAACAAAAGCACAAGAAAAAAATATTCATGGATTAATGGGTCTGAAACTCGATCGACATTCATGCTAAGCAAAAGGACAGGTCGTCCCCAAGAAAAGCCTCCGTGTGAGATCTAAAATCCCCACCGTCGTAGGAACACGGTGGTCTAGCATCTAAAAGTCAAAGGGCATTTGTGAATGCACATTCCGAACGTTTGTTAGGTTTGACTTTCATGAAAAAATCAAACCTTTGCAATAGTTTAAACTCTCCACGGCATGCACAACCGTAGCTATCAATGGATAATTGCAGAGGACCACTTCGGTGGAGGAATCGTAATTACTAAGTTCACTACAGCAAGAGGGAGATAATTATCCATCATTTTCCTAGTAAAAAAAAAAAAAGGAGGGTTGAGTGGCATGATCAATTACATTTTCTCTTCAAGTAATATCATTATTGAAAAAATAAATAATAATTGCAGCCTCGTTAGGCAAGTTTTTGGATTGCTCTCCACCAACTCTCTTGCCTTGTGGGTTAAGATCGATAAAAATTAGGTGTCCTCATAATCTGTCTAGTCCAATTCATTACACGGGTTGGTGAATGTTCGATGTTACAACTTATCATCAAGTGTGTTCATTATTAACAAAAAAAAATTATTGGACAGTGTGGGTTTTTTTTTTTTAATTGTATCCTCCTAACATAAAACTACTTACTTGAATAGTAGTTTTTTTTCTTTAGCTTTGTTTAGTTTTTTTCTGATTTTTTATTTTTATTTTATTATTTAAAATTAGATTTATTAGAGATTAGGTTATATATTTTTCTAATTTATTTTTTATATAATTATTTCAAATTTATAACTCAAATAGAGGGTTAACTTGAGTTTTTTTAATCAATTTTTTTTTAATATCATTCTTTATAGTTGGGTTAATAGAAAATTAGACTTTGTAATTTATTTTAATTTACTTTTGATAAGATTATCTCATTTTATAACTTGAATAATAAATTTAGTAGATAAATCTTGGTTGATCTGAATTTTTTTGTGGTTTTTTAATTATTTTTTATTTTTATTTTTTATTTTTCAATACTAGATTGATTAAGAATTTAATTTTATAATTTATTTTAATTTATTTTTTATTAAATTATCTCGGTCTTATAAATTGATTTAAATTTTTTAAAAATTTTAATAACTTAAGTGATTTTTTTAGAGTTAAACCTTGATTGATTTATTTTCTATTAAAATATCTTAATATTATAATCTGGTTGAAATTTTCTAAAAATTTTAATAACTTTGGAAGTAACTGTCTTCAAAATTCCACCCCTTTTTTCTTAATCTTTTTATTTTATTTTTATCCTATGTAAGCATCACGTTAACTTTTTTTTTTTTTGTTTGATGACTAGGATGAAGCTTAACAAGTCATAGACCGACATTGACAATGTAAATGCATGGGCAGATGAGGGCATTAAATACATTAGGAATTAAAGTTGTAATGCCAAATAAATTTCTATCAAGAAAGGAAATCTTCATAATCAGACAACTAATATTAAATTCCGGTGGGCACAAAATGGTTTGCTAAGTCGCACCTTCACATTTTGACCAAACCCTATCTATCTCTTCGATAAGACAGACACGGTCAAGTCACAAGAAACTTGCTGGTGCAAGTTGATGTTCCAATTTTATCTTCCTAACACATGAATATATAAAGCCGTGTATGATTGAGGGACTGAGAATTTCACAGAGAGAGAGAGAGAGTTCAGGAATAACAGGAATGGAGAAACAAGCAGCACCACCACCACCAAATAGGATCCTGAAATTTCTACCAAAAGCTGCTTCTGCGGTCAACTTTCATAACCTTGCATTTAGCCCAGGAAGAGACAGGAGATCAGAAAACATACACAAGCACAAAGCCAATGTGGGAAAAGGAGTTAATCCTTGCAGGTCAATGATCCCAGTTGAAGTTAGAAGACAGCCCATGAATGAGAGCTTTGAGACCCAAGAAGAACCCACCTCACCAAAGATCTCATGTATGGGCCAAATCAAGCACAAGAAGAAGATGAACAAGGCTACTTATAAGCGTGTTTCAGTTCCTCAGGAAACAAAGCCTGTGTCACAGACTCAACGTCAGGTAATGAAGCATGCATCTAAACTCAAGAGGCTGTTTACTGGATCAAAAGCAGGAAGGAAATCTAATGCTTTTGATGTTGGTAAGCCAAAACTTCCTGATAGAGCACCTTCATTAAGTCAAATGAAAAGGTTTGCAAGTGGTCGTGATACTCTGGCAAGTTTTGATTGGACCGCTCATCAGATTGCACCAGTGGAACCTGCTGGCAGGGACTATTATTCTGATGAAGAGAGGGGAGATAGCTTTGAAGATCAAGAAGATGAAGAGGTTATAATTCCTTTCTCGGCACCTATGGTGTTAGGTGGAGGAGTAGATTTGCTACCAAGGAAAGAAGTTAATCTTTGGAAGAGAAGAACCATGGATCCACCTGAGCCTCTTCGATTGAAATCCAGTATGGTTAGAGCAAATTAATACCAATCTTTTCCTTAATCTGTTTATGTTTGCAAAAAAATTCATTGTTTTTAAAAAATCTTAAATGCCGCAAGATAGAAGACGTCATTGAGATATGTAAGATAGATACAATTGTTAAGGATCATGTACAAACTGTGTTCATTGGATCTTAATTTGCTTAAGCTTACTTCGAGTTGGCTTGAAATTAAATCGATGACTAATCCAATGCAAGGCCACGAAAATGCCAAAAAACCAGAAGAATAAAGTGATTCGATCGACTGCCAACAGTTTTTTTCCTGGTTTTTTGTTCTCTCGGCAAAAAAAATCTTGTTGTAGGTGATCATTTTGAAGAAGGCTCCTGGTCCTTGCCATATGCACAAGTAGAATTTTCCATATACATTTTCACACGTTGGAAATTAATACCAGATATTCTTCATTAAAGAATTAACACCCTGCGGCATAATTGGCCAGCTGCCTTGATTGAAAAATGCAACCATATGAATGGTAAGGGGTGGCTTTGGGGTCCTATCAGAGGTGTTTGAAAGGGCATCTGCAATATCATGTGTGTTTGAGGTAGTCCAACATGTCGCTTGCCTGCTAAGGCTAGCCCTTCCTGCTTGACAATGACATTTATTTTTTAACTGATATTTTGATAAATTAATAAAGAAATTTTTCGCATCCTCTCTTTTTCAAATAAATTAATAAAAAATATATTTTTCTTAAAAATAAAAATATTTTCTGCCAATTTAAAATTTGGCACAGCAATCATGTTCATCATCAATTATTCCATCCACACAGGTCTCGGTTCCTCACGCCTAGCACGCGTCTACAGCCTCAAACCGTGTCAGGTCGATCTTCTGGCTACATTCAACCCATAAACAATAAACCCAGCCCATTCTATCTTGCAACCCAAATGCCATGTAAACTCCGTAAAACCTTTTCTTTTTTTCCTTTTCAATTGGTAAACTCACTTCTGACATTCCATGTTTGAAATTATTTTATTTGTAAATGATTGGATTTTAAATAAAATTTAATCTTTAAAAATAATACAAAAATAAATCAAAAGTCAACTCATTTAATTTACTACACTAAAGAAGAAGATTTGATATTAAAATTAACTTATCCAAAATACCCAACTACCTCTCTCTTTTTACACACACACATGTATATATATATATAAAAAAGTGATTATTAAACATGCATCAGCAAGCAAATATCGTCCGAGCTCTTCGAGTGGCTAGTATGATCCCAAAACAACTTAAAATATCGTTATTAGAGTTGATTTTCAACGCACCTCAAGCCCCTGTTACGGTGATGAGGTGCATGTAGTAAGAGTATCGACTGTTAAGCTCCCATGATATTATTTTTTTTTTGTTCTTTTTCTCTTTCTTCTTTCTCCTCTGGAAAAGTATGCTAGCTATTACCCATAAACAAAAATTTAGTTATTTATTTGTCCATTAATCAAATTAAATTTTTATTTTTTGATTGTAATGTATTTAGTTTTAAGTTATTTATTGAATAAATTTTATTTTTAATTTTATCTCTCCACATTTTATTTTTATATCAAGTTTGATCCTTATTATTTTAATTGCGAATGTATTTAGTTTTGAGTTTATTTATTGAAATATTATTTTTTTAATTTTATCCCTAGACATTTATTTTTTATCAAATTTTATCCTTATTCTTTTTATTATTACTTTTAATTTTTCTTATCATTTTTCTAATTGAAATTGTTTTTCAATTTCATTATTTATGATTTTTTAATCAGATTTGGTTATCATTCTTTTCAAATCTATAATTTTTAATTTTTTTTTTAATTTGATTTTTCAAATTTATCCCTAATTATTTTGGTTGATTGAGAATTTTACATTGTTATTTTTTTTTTTGTTTTCCTTTCATGCTATGATTCGGCTGGATAATCTATGTCACAAGTTTTGAAGGGTGGACTAGACTGGTTTCAATTATTTTTGTTTTTTAATTTCATCCATTATCATTAAATTCATTGTAAATTTGTATTATTTATATTTTTTTATCTTTTCTTTCTATAAAGCTAATCGATATCATGTCTCAGATCATGAATTCAGTAAATTTACCAGGTTTGACCTAAGCTTTTCTTTCCATTGTTTTTTAATTTTTTTTTTAATTTGGTTCTTCAATATTAGATTGGTTTGAGAATTAAGTTTCATGATTTTATTCAGTCTGTTTTTAACAAACTTATCTTGATTTCACAATTAGGTTATAAATTTATTTTGATTTTTGCTAAAACTAGATGATAAAAAAAAAATCATGTTTAGTTCTATTAGCGTATTTAATTTTTAGAATTCACCTATATCATAGCTCAGACAGAATTGATTCAATTTATTTTTTATTTTTTCAATTGTTTTCTTTTTAATTTTGTTATATGTCATTTTATTTGCTAAGAATTGATATTCATATTTTTTTATTTTTTTATGCAATCATTCTATTTTAATTTAATTTTTACTTTGTTAATAAATAAGATTATTGAGATGTTTTAAAAATATTGTAAAGATATATTCTCATAATATTTATAAGCATTTACCTTTTGTGTTAAATCATTGTTGTTTTTCACTTTATTTGTTATTTGTATTTTATTTTTTAATTATATTATTAAATTAACTGAATTTAGTAAATTAATTTAAGTTAATGAGTAGCATTTTAGATTTTTTTTTCCTTTTAAAAATACATGCATTGTTTTGATAATTTTTTATAAAAAATAAATAAATAGACATGCAACGTAACACGGGCTACTTATTGAGTGATTACTACAGAACCTGCCGTGCATTAATAATATTGATAATGATACATTTTAGTAATTAAAGTATAGCAATTTCGTGTTTTTTTCATAATTTTTTTAGCTTGAAATTGTACGAGCTCTGATTCTACTTTGTCTACTTGTATTTTCCCGTGTGAATTTTATCTACCCAATTTGAGTCCTTTCGACGATTAATTTCGTACAAACTCTCGTAGGTAACACGAACTCCTTGGTATCTAAGGATTTCTCCAGTAAGTTCTCCTTTGCCAGAACCCACATGCCTTCCACAAATCTTACCATCTCTGATGAACAAAAAAGTAGGCACCTCAAGCACATCCATGTCCTTCAAGAACTGCATGCAACTATCATTCTCATCACCATTCATGCGTGCAAACACCACAGTTGGATAAACCTTCACGCATGGCCCACAATGCTTCAACCCCACATCAAGAACAATGAGCTTGTGACCAGCTTCGATCAACTTTTCCACGTCTTCTCTGCAATGATGCTGCAGAACAGCAGCGTGGTTATCACCATAGTATAAAACCTCTCCCCGTGAGCTTATCTTGGGTGATCCCTTTTTCTTCATGAATTTTTTGTTGGTGTAGTCTGTAATAAAAGGATAGATATTTATTTCATGTTGAAAAGAAAACATTCATTTCTGATTGTGTAAGTAGAAGTTTTTATTGTGTAGTAAAATAAAGCATAATGGATGGACTTTTCAATTTGATTTTTTAATATTATTATATAAATATTTATAATATTTAAAGATAGTACTTTAAATTTGAAACTTAAAACTTCATATGTTAATATGTTAGTAAAATTAATTCATTGTTAAATTAATTTTTGTAATTATTTTGATATTTATAACTATTGAAATAAAACTAAATAATATATATTTGAAAACAATCATAATGTTAGATGAACTCATACTATTTTATTATTATATTTCAAGTCTATAAAAACATGTAACTATATAAAAAATAAAATACAACAATAAAAAAAAGTTCTTTTCCTAATTTTATTTTTTTATTTTTTAAAAAAAATTAGAGAATTTAGTTATATCTTGAAATTATTTTTTTATATAAAACAAATAAATATTTTAATAATAATATTTTTACACCTTTAAACCAACTCTTTCATCCCTCTCGATTCGTTTTCATCCTAGATATTTTTAACATCTTCTCCATGCTCTTGTAGAAGCTAAAGTGTGGAACTTTTTCTATTTTCTCTCTCTTACAAAGGTCTCTGGCCTTCTCTGATTCATCTCCCATCACAAGAAGGAAATCTACGTCGTTGCAGGTTCTGCTTAATTCTACCATAAAAGGGTAGATTTTACTGCTATGGTAACCAGGGGCGGAGCTGGTACCATTTGACAGGGAGGTCAAAATTAATATAACAAGATATTATTAAAAAGTTTATTTATTTAAAATAAAAATATCATACTATTATATATTTAAATACTAAATATAAAAAATTAAATTTTTTTACAGGGCCGGCCCTGCTTGCCTCCTCCCGGTTCCCCTGATGGTAACTGTGGCTCGCTGCATATTCTACAACAACGAGCTTGTTATTGGCAGTTATAAGTGCTTCATATCGAACTCCTCTACGCTATGAACCTTCTGTACCTTTTCATCGTTAATAGGTTTTCCGGTCCCTGGAGCAGCTGTAGCCTTTGCGGTAAACTGTGTACTGCTTGTACCATGTTTGTCGCTAGGGGTTTTACATCCTTAGAGACAAAGGGTACTAAAAAGGAACTGTGCAAACAAGGAGGACTCGCTTCAGTTATTCCTAAAAGAGATGGTGGTGGTTTCGATAAAAAAAAAATCTGAAATAAGCTTGTAGAGGAAAGGTCTCGGCAATTGAGAACCTCAGACGAGCGAAGCAGTAAGCACAGATCGAGAGGGAGAAGAGACGGGAGGAACTATCATGAAAATCTGAGTGACCATAATTGTTATCCACGAATTTTTTTGTGATTCTTGTTATCATTGCAGCTGTGCGGGGCTAGATTTTTAGGACCATAATGTTTTTCTCTTCGGCCTTTAGCATATTAGTCGGGCTTTAATAAAAAGGCATAAATGGATCAGCACATATCCATTGGGCTTAAGCTCTTTACAGATACTGGCCGGGTTTTCTTTTCTGTCGGCCTCGACTGGGAACATGGACAACCGCGTTGTAATGCAGGTTGTCTTGGCTGGGAGATGTGATGGTTTTCTTTTAAGGGTATAATATAAATTATATACATGTTTTTTTATATGGTTTCATAAAAAAATATTAATCACACCTCCAAACCAAACATCCCCTTAATATTATACATAAAACGCACGTGTCTGTTCCATTAATTTTTTTATTTCCAGTTTTTTAATTAAAAGAGTAGAAATGTGTTCATTTGTCGAGAACAAAAGGGAATTTTTTCAACCCAGAAAAATAAAAAATGCATCAATATCACGACTGTTTTCTATAAAAAATCAAAATAATAATTTATAATTACTCATATTCAAAGATAAATTTATGAAACTAATTAAACAGGAAAAAGATAAACAAAAATAAAAATTTTATTGTTTTGCATTGTTAAAGGGTGTTTGTATATAAAAGAAAAACATTGTACTATTGCATTTGAATATCAAATTTTAATTATTTTCCTTTTCTGATTCAAATTTTTCAAAAAAAATTGAAGGATCGCTATGTTTTGTGAACAACCCGTACATGTCTAACATATATCGGATCACTTCTTTCCTAAGTTTGAATTAGGGGATCACAATCACTCTTCCGTTCAGGAACTTGAGACTTGAGAGGAAAACAGTTACGTTTCTTCATTTGATCGGTGCCTCCATGGCTACTTTCCTAGCACAGAACAACTATAAGTACGAAAGGAGCCCGGCATGAAACTTGTTCCTCTTGTCAGGTGGCAACGGCAATCTATGGTCTAAGGATCTATTAGGTGAAATAATCTGTGCAATGATCTGTCCTCGCGTTGTCAATTTCGTAGGTGGACATGAGCTGGAAACTTTCGGAATTTTGTTGGAGGCAGGAATCAACAATCTCCCCTTCAGTTTTATGGCCCAAACATGCAATTTGCTAGTTTATATTTATTTTTATATTTTAAAAAATTACTTCAAATTATTTTTTTGTTTTTGATATTATTTTAATATATTAATATTAAAAATACTTTTTAAAAAAATAAAAATACATTATTTTGATATATTTTTAAATAAAAAACACTTCAAAAATCAACCATTATTACACTTTCAAACCCTTCCAGACTAAAAACCAACCTCACATAATATTTTTGAAGGAGTTATCAAAAACCAATCAAAGGCTCTCTCATGGTTGTCAAAACCAGTTTGGAGCATGACCCAATCTAGAACCTAGATCATCATGCATCACCTTGGGGCAATCAAATTTTACTGGATGAATATCCAAATTGGTTTTTTTTTCCTTAAAAAAAATGACCCGCCAGGGCATGTTTAATAAATGTGCTCCCTCATGTTATATCACAAGTATGTCCATTATAGTCAATTGGTAATTAATGACCGACCTCTAGAGGACAAGACTATACAAATTCGATCGAGTTTTACAACCCTCGATCCACATTCTAAGTCGCAATATTCTGGTAGATTTTGCAAAGATTCAGGAACATTTCCAGTCTGGGAGATGATCCAAGACTGGTGTGTCAGTAAGAACTAAGTCTGTAGGTCACCATAACAGCACCATTCTCATTAACTTCATCCTGTCAGGATATGCAAATTTATTGCAAAACTTCATAGACAGTTCAGAACCGTGACCCCGTGGATCATCCTTCATTTAATACTACAGTTCCTTTAATTGACCGACAGTTCAATTAATCCCTAAGCTTGCTTACCGACCTAGAAAGCCCACGATCCAGTCAAATGAACATATCCCTGGCAAAATGTCTTGCTCTCCTGGCCCCCGAATACTTGATCCGAGTTTCATTTCCATGGGATTTGAAAAGTGCTGGCCATATAATTCAAATGCCAGATAATTAAACATGTAATACTCGTACAGGGGAAAAATTAATTCCCCCAGACTACAGCTTAAACTGACTCTTATATGAGTTCATTAAACCCCACATCGGCTTGTCCAGCAAAAATAGCCCTTGAAGCATGCGACCCCTACATGCTAATTCTTGCAGTTACATGTCTAGAGAATTGTCATAACATGACAAAAGACACAAAAGCTGAACTAAATTGGAGGAATCCAGGCTTGTAAAGCAAACTAACAACACAGCTAAAGTCAAGATCCAGAGCTGGCCTGCTGGCCACCTGAGGTTTTATTTTTTTTTATCGCAAAAGTGCCTTTTTCTCTCCATGTGCGCCTCGAGTGCTCTCTTGTTCTCACATGCACTCATCTCCTCGGTAAATCTTGCCATTAGATCTCCTTCGTTAGCCCAAATTCTCTTTAATTTTTTTAAAATCACTCAGAACACTAGAAACATAAACAACTTCAAGAAGGCCAAAATCAAGTGAAATGAGAAAAACACTAGAAATTTAGATAACAATCATCTTGACCTTTGGATTCTTCACTATCACCATAATAACAGTAAAAAAACCAAGTTACAGCCAGGAAAATAAAAAAGAAAAATACAAAGATGAGGATTTGAACTAAGAAAAAGCTAAAAGGAAGAGAAAAGAGGAAAAAAACTAAAAAGTCACAAAGGAGGTGCAACATGAGTTACTCAAACATAATAAATAAATTAAAAAAGAAAAACAGGGCTTGTTTTGATTTATTACCAATCAAATAAGAGACTAAGAGTTTGAAGCCGTTTCTGTCTTCTTCTCAGGTTTTCTGCAGAGAATCATATGCATAGGAGTGAAAATCCCAGAATCACCACCCTTGGTAAGGTAATCAGCTGTCTTAAACAGCATCTCGTGAACATCAACAGTCCCCTTTGGTGCAATCCCTACAGCGGAAAGTACTGTTACAACAATGTGGTTTCTCCAGTAAGCAATCCTTCCCATCTTAAGCCTAGTCCACCATGGCCGTGCTGGTGGTTTAGCCAAGTCTTTCTCCTTCACAACTTCAAATCCTACCTTCCTTGCTGTCTCTGCAATATCAGTATAGCTTCTTAGCCCAGGCAAAGCATCACCTCTTTCAATACCTTGAATAACCTCCACGTGTTCAGGGTCAGAATCCTTGTACTTATCAGTTGTGACCCATTCATAGGACACGTAAAGAGATCCAGGCTTCAAGACCCTAAAGATCTCTGCATAAACCTCTTCGAGTTTCGGCGCGTGACATGTCGCTTCGATCGAGTAAGCTCCGTCGAAGCTGTTCTCAGGAAACGGCATCTCTAGGAAATTTCCCTGAACAACTTCACAAAGTGAATCTAACCCGGCTTTCTTGTTGTGCGTGCGCGCACGATTCACTTGATAATCGTTGATAGTGATGCCGACCACCTTGGCGCGTGAATGTGCAGCAATAGCACGCATCGGACCACCAACACCGCATCCGACATCTAGGATGCGATCTCCAGGCTTGACATTGATCAGATCCACGGCCATCTCTTCGTGTAGGCGCGTGGCTTCACTGTGGGACTTTCCGGGAACGGATGGAGAGAAGTGGAAGGACTGACCCCATCCCCACTCGTAAATATCTGTGACTAAATTGTAAAATGTGTCGACAAAATCAGGGACCTTTTCAGTTGTTTCGATTTCTTTGGGACGGCGGAAAAAAGACCAGTATTGATCATAGTTATCTTGGACATTCTCGGCCGAGATGGAGCCACCGGATAGATCTACTGCCCGTTTGCCTTTCTGCTCGGCTGGGCCGAGAACGCAAACGAACCAGTAGATGCCACCGGCTAGTAGAGCCCCCGTGAAGAAGAGAGCGAGAGAGTCCATGAGTGAGTGCGGGACGGAGTGTCTGAAGGGTTACGTTTCTCTTCTTTTTTTATCAGGTTTAAGGTTTCCTCTTTTATATATTTTTATCAGGTTCAAGGGAGGAGAGGATATGGTTTTTCATGCCTTGTGGACGGGCGAGTGCACGTGCGTTGCTCGTGTTTGAGATAATTCAAAAGAAGACGGGGAAAAGATTTACTTTTGAGAGGTTGTGATTCCAACTTCCAAGTAGGGTAATTAATTTACTAGCATGCCCCTCGTATTTTTTCTGGTTTAATTAGCTGTACATTTTTTGTTTTTTTGTTTTTTTAAAAGATATGAGGAAGCCTGAGATGATATCTTAGATATTTTGGTTTTTTTAAGTAGCATTTTAAAAACAAAGGTTAGAAAAATAGTATAGGTTCATTTTTATTTTTTCGAAAAATAGCATAGTGTAAAAAGTTACTTTTGTTTTTTTAAGGATATAAGGAAGCATGGTAGGTGAGAAAAGATATTTTGATTTTTTAATTAGCATTTTTAAAAAAAAAACACAAGCTAGATGTATTTTTTAGAAAATAACATAGTAAAAAAATACCATCGAATGTTTAGATAAAACACCACTTGAAGATAGAATCATGAGCTGGAACTTAAAACACCGTCGAGATAGTTTCTTTCTTTGTCTTCACATGGTAATTTCTATTATCAGTTTTATTTTTTCTAAATTTAAAATTAAAGCAACACTTGTTTACACGTTCAGAATATATTTAACTAGAAAAAAAATAAAATTTATGTTTTTTATCAAGTCAAACACTGTATTGCAATATAGATAAAACATAAAATTTCTTTTTTTTTCAAATCAAATAATGTATTACAGCATAGATAAATAGTGATGCATTAATGTATTTCATTCTAAAATTTAATCTATTATAAAACTCACGGCTAAAAGGAATAAAATTTAATTTCTTATAAAGCTTATAGTTAAAAGCATAAAAGAAAATCGTTGATATATAATAAATTCTTTTTAGATGTCGATGGTATTGATATATAATGTTGAAGCATTTTTAAAATCAGCAAGAATTTATTTTAATTCAGAAGTGTATTGAATATCTAATAAAAATGTCAAAAAGAACTTTGAAAATAAAATACAAATCATTGATTTAGATTAATAATGAATTTCATTTTAAAATCATGAACTAACAACTTTAATTTTATTTTTAAATTTTTTTTATTGATATTTATAGTCTTTGTTTGTTTTATTAGGAAGAAATTTTCATGTCAATGATCTAAAAAGAAAGATAAATATATGTTTGATGTTGTGATATAAAATGATTTTTTAAAAAAATAAATTAAAATATTTTTTATTTTTAATATCAACATATTAAAATTATTAAAAAATATTAATTTAATATTTTATAAATGTAAAGCAAATACACACTTAAAAAACACTCGAAATCAAGAGCTACGCAGTCCTGAAAGGGGCCAAATAAACTATTAAAAAAACTGATTTCAATAGTTTCTTGTAAGCTATTAAAAAAGAAAAAAGATTTGATCTCGATACTTTCTTGTATCTTGAGCTGGTGCTTTAATTATTAGATCAGCTCTTATGATTTAAGTAGATCAGATATAATTTGATTTACCACTTGCATCAAACCATGAATGTAAGTGCATGATGTTGGCTGGGACCATGTTATTTCGCAATCCCCCCTAGATGGAAGCACTCATGTCCACCACCACCTATTAGCAATTGCCAAGAAAGAAAAGACAGGAAGGCACGACTCGAGATAATATACTATAACCATATGATAAAAATAATAATCATAATAATGATAATAATGCGCTCGAATCAGTAACGGGTTGGTTCAATGATTAAGATCGCCCATTACGGGGTAAAATATTTTAATTAGAATCGTCTTATGGCTATAATTAGTGATTAGTTAATACCCAACCTACTTTGTGGTTCCCATCACGTGTATGACCAGATCCAGGGGTGATGGACAACGAACGTGCCCTTGGTCAGCAAAGGAGTGTTTTTAAAATTGTTTATATTCACTCATACGATCAACTAGTTTCTTTAAAAATATATATTTGGGGTAATTAAAAAAAAATGAGTTCAGTTTTCAATACAAAATGATCATAAAATACTCATTATTATCGATAAAAGTATAAATAAAAAAATTAATAATATCATGGACTATCTTATTAATCATGGTTATAAAATTAGTATCGATCATGCGGGTTAACTTATAATTTAAATGATTTACAATTTAAATTGATTTCAATTAAAAAAAATAGGAGTGATCCATCATAATTCGATTGAAATCCCGAGTTAACCTATGATAAAAATTAATATAAATAATTATAAAATATTCATTATTATTGATAGAAAAAGAAACAAAGTAAATTATTAATTATAGTTACAAAACTTGTACTGGCCCAACAAATTAATTTAAGAATGAAAAAATTAAAGACTTTGATCCATCCAAGTTAAAAAAAAAATATGAGTGATTTGTCTTAATTTGATTAATAATCTAGGTTAATTCATGCTAAAAAGTGATTAAAATCTAGCTTTTCGAGTTGATTTTTTTTTTGAATTTTTTTGTAAGTAAAAGCAACGTTCTTCTTATATTTTTTTCCTACGTGACAGGGGCAAAGAATCTTTGCAATTGTTTTCCCTTTTTATAACGTGCCCTCGAACAATGTTAGGATGGGCTGTTTTGTCATGTTAATTATGGGTGTCGTGTTTATAAAGTATTGTTGAGGTTTGGTTTGGAGGCAGGACGTGCTTATGGTGTTTTGTGTTTTCGGATCTCGTAGTTTATTCATTTAAGTCTTCTGTCTTGTCGAGCTGTTATCCAACTACACAACATTCAGAAACGGACAAGCTTCATAACATGGAACAAATGGCATGCCTCCAAAACACAAACCGTTAAGTAAATTCTATGACTTATCAATATAGAGCCTGACAAATACTAAGTTTAATTTCGAATTAAGTTTTTTTAATTAAAATAACACTTTTTAATATTTTTAATTTTAATTTTGATTACTTTATCAAGCACGAGTTAACTTACCATTCAAATCTTAGACCCTATTGATTTTAAACCATATTAAAAAGCAAATACTATATATATTGTTATTTTTTTACATCAATCCGTCAAATAATTAAAAAATATTTGAAAAAATAGTAATTTAATTATTTTCAAGTAAAAACAATTTAAAAAAATCATATTATTTTAATAAAAATAATTAGTTTAAGTTAATTCGATTATGTTAATAAGGTGATTTATTAGCCCAAACTCTTTTCCGAGTTATTTTTTAAATCCAGTTTTGCAGCTATGAATTACAAATAGTACACATGCCACTATGCTAACTACATAAACATTGAAATCCATTTAATTATGTAACAATCAGACCATAAGTGGCTCTGAAAAGGCAATCCTTGGTGTAGATCCTGAAATCCTGTCCTTTTAATTTCCAATTTTTCCTCCCTGGCTCATGTTATGATTGTTTATTCTCCGTTTCTCCTCTTGCATTGATGTGATAATCATGACAACCTTTACGTTATTCAACTTAAGTCTCTAGGGCGGTTGTGGTGGGGCGGGAGAAGGAATTTGTTATCTTTCTATATGAGATTCGATTTATTTTATTTTATTTTTTTATTGAGTTTATTAAATATTTAGTAAATTTAAAAATTAGTTATAATATATATAAGTTGGTTCGGAAATTCTAAATTATATAAAAAAAACCCTTAAGTCTCTAGGAAACACTCGTGCTTAATTTTCCAATAAATAGTCGATATTAATTAATATGTTTGGACAGTATTATCTCGCTAGATGATATTCCAATCTTATTACCACAAAAAAACATGGAAAACATTTAGCACAGAACACATGAGGAAAAAGGGAACCTCGTTTCTGCCCCTGGTGTATTATCTTATCTCGAGATTCGTCTACAAGAAATTAAATTTATCGTATAGTTTGTGTAAATGGAAGCGGACACATTAGTGGATCAACAGGATCATAGAGTTGGAAGAAATGACAATTAGCTAGCTGTATGTGTAGTAAATTCCAAATGGATAGTGGGAATTGCTAGGCACTGACGAGGAAGCCTCCTTTTGAAGTGACGCTTTCTCTTTGCCACCGCACTTCCCTTCAAGAAAAATCAGTCCCAGAAAGATGCTTTAGAGCTTTGTGACTTTTCAAATCCGAGTCCTTTCCTGCCTCTTCATTTCTTGCAAGTTTTGGGAGCTTCTGCTTTCCACAGGTCCTTCGAGGACGCTGCAGGTTCACTGCCTTTTTGACAAAATACTATGAGCTGATTACAAATGTCTCGAGTGGAGTTGCCTAGCTTTGGAAGTTTGATGCATCTTTCTAGACGGATTGGATTTGTGGGGACAGAAATCATACAAGTAATTGGTTAATGCAATGAAGAATCATGTATTCTTGCTAGTTTTTTTTAGATTAATATGGTATTCGGGCCAGCTTGCGTGTACCACAACTAATTCCACAGGCCCTGAAGTTAACGACCATGTAAGCCTCCAGTGGTCATCATATGAGCAACCAAGGACTCGAATCTGAGACCACAGAGGGAGCAAACCCCTTGATCCCAAGTTCTTACCACTTGGGTACTACTTCGATGGTTTGTATTCTTGCTAGTTGTTATAAGTTTATGCGATGTGATGTACAATTAGTATCATAATTTGCAATGTTACATAAGTATGAGCTTTTTTTAAAAAAAATACAAAATAACAATAAGTTATTAGAAATTCCAATAAAATTGTGTCCAGTGATATAAAACTTAATTAAAAGCGTGTTTATTTGTTGAAAAAAAATGTTTTTTAATAAAATATTAAGAAATACATCAAAATTACAATTATTTTTATAAAAAAATCAAAACAATAATTTATGATAGTCTAGATTTATGTCAAGTATTGATTTTATTTTGGTTAAATTAAAGATACCATGAAAAAGTTATATTGTTAATTAAAAAATTAAAAAATACTAGATTTATAGTAAAAATCAAGTTTATGATACTACTAAATATAAAAGAATAATTTTAATATCTTACATCACTAAAAATTGTCTGTATATACGGCTCATATCTTCTCATTTAAAAAAAGGAAAAAAGTAGGGAGAACCTCTAATTTTCTCAGTCTTCTAAATGAAAAATATTATATTTACATATAAAATTATAATTGTTATTTTTTTTACTTGAATTCTTAAAAAATATATATTATTTTTCTGTTTTAAAACAATGACATGACAATTATGTTGTTTAACCAAGTTGTACGACGCATGCACCTTCCTTTTCCTGTGAAATTCAACCATTGAATTATTGAGATATAAATTAGTGTATAGACAAGTAGGCATTAATCTTTCGGAGCACGGAAGTTCTATCTTCTCTCTTCTTCCAAGACATGGGGCCTTGTGTCGCTGCGAGCTTTCCTTTGATCAGGTTTCTTCATAATTAATTAATCATGCAAAAACATCACCGAACTGCAAGAAGGTTTAACGAGAAATCAGAAGAAATACTCATCCCATGTAATAAGATCAAACACAAGCTTTCCCTTTCATTTGTTGGCTATATATTTTTTTATATGACGTAAAATAGTCAAAATCCTAACTTTACGTTTGAATACAATGGTTTTGATGATGCTAGATGAACATCGTAGGAATACTGGAAGATCTTAAATTTAATTTGTGTTCTGATATTCGGTAAGGCAAAGGATTGGTGTAAAAGAATCACTTTGCCAGATTCTTGGATAATTTTGAATGAGAAGACGTATATGAAAGCCATAATTATTTTTTAAAATGAATATATTAAAATAATATTTTTTATTTTAAAAAAATATTTTTAATATTAATATATTAAAATAATCTAAAAATATATTAAAAAAATATTAATTTAAAAAATAAAAAAAATACCTTTAAAATATAAAAGAAAACCGTGCTTCCTCAACTTATCCTTCCCCAACTTGTCCTGAAAGCTGACAAGACTTGAAAATGATAGGTAATACAAATTTTATAGCAGTCCAATGCTGACTCCAATGGAGCTACGGATCCCAGCTCTTGTAGCTGTCAATGCTTCCATCAACAAGACTTTTATACCATCATAATTTCTTATGCCAGAAGGCACCATGGACGGTACATGACAAAGGATAAGGGTTTTGTTTTGATTGGAAGTATCGACAGAAGTCAGGACGATGACCAAGTAGCAGTGACTATATCGACAGAAGTATCGACAGAAGCTGACAAGACTTTAAAATACCCATCTCTCTCTAAAACATTCATCCATCTCTTTCTATCTAGCTTTACCCGTGACAACCACACTTTCTCTCTCTAGTAACGACATGTGTTGACTTTTCTAGCTAAAACAGTCACAGCCAGTAAACCGAACCACCCATATTTCATATTTTTAGAGGTATATTAAATATTTTGTCTTCATTAATATGATATAATTTATATTTAATTGGTATTAATTTTATTTTATTAAATATTAAGATTTTAAATTAAAAATTAGGTTAACTAGATGTAATTGAAGTTGTTAATTAGATATAATTATGATATTTTATTTAATTATTAATTATTTTATTTTATTTTATTTTATAATTGCGTCACGTGAATTTTAACCATTGGTGGAGCGATCAGTTCACTTGGTGACTTGTCTTGTTAAATGATATGGGATTAAATATTTCACAGTAAATCTTACTTATATTTGTGAGTTTTATCAAGATGGGTTGAATGTATAGCAATCACGTCAGGTATATATTACAAATGTTTTTTTTTGTTATTTAGATTTAATTTTCCAGTTTCAATTAATTGATATAAATAATTGTTTTATATACTCTAATAAGTTATATGAATATCGTATACAAATGATTTGATAGTTTAAATCTCGTCTATATGATTCGAGAGATGTGATATTTGATTAGCAAGTGTTAACTTACATTACTTCAACATTGTTAAGATGCATTATCCAGATTGGACATTATATTTCAGAGAGGAGTTGCATGATATTAGTTTCTCAGGCAAATGTTAAGGGAGTTTATTAGTAATTTATGCATCTTACCTTCATGTATGAGATGTTATGAATGACTATGTTTTTGACAAGCGACAATACATGATAAATATAGATAATTAGATGACATGATATTTGTTCACTGTGTATCATTTCATTACATTGACTTGGTTGCGTTTCTCGATACATCTACAAACTTGATGCACCATGCCACTTGATATCCAAGATATAATCGATTGGTATGAAATATTATTTTATATTTATTAAATATCATAATAATTTTATCATATATGATAACTGCTGATTGATTTTTTATGTGTGTACGAGAAGCTTAGAAAGTATCAATGAATACCCATGAAGATGTCAACGAGATGAAATATATTATGGCTAATACCATACTTAATTTATGTCGTAGCAAACTTTAATAAGTTTAGGAGGTTGAGTATCTTGAAGCAACTTTGGCGAAAAATGATGTTGTTTATTGTGAGAGTATTAAGGATGTTGATCCATCCATGAGTGATCCAAATTCATTCATGAGTTGATATAATACCGGTCTTCCTCAAACTTATATAAATATTATAGACTCAATCTCAAGCTGGATAAGTTGAGAAGATTGTTAGATATAATTACATATTATTATATGTTATGAGAATTGTGAATAAATATATATTTAATTTAATTTTTAATAAAATGTAAATGCTTTCTTAATTGTTAATGTATATTTATTATATGTGATTAAATATATTATATATTAACTGTGCAAATTATTGTTTTTTTAGTAAGGGCTTAACGGCAAAATAAATTATCCCTGAATGCCTTAACTAAAAGAATCGTAAATGATATATGCAAAACGCGAGTCACATATATCATTTGTGATTTTAACATCGCAGTTGCCATTTGCAAATCTCTTAAATATATCAGATTCTTAATTATTTTTCCACTTATATTATTTTACAAATTAGTTTTTTTTTTTAAAATATGCTAACTTACCAAAAACACTCCTATACCTCGTTCCACACGCGCGGAGATAACTGGGCACCCTAATAAAAGAGACAAGGTGGGCGTTCATCACAAGAAAACAAAGTGACACTAGCAGGCCTGCTATCTCAAGTACACACATTCGGCCCAACACTTATCTGACAAAAACACCATCCGGTTTTTTATTTTTTATGAACCCGCGAACATACAGATAATCTTTGCATCTAAAATTTTCTACCAGTACTAAATGAAATGAAATCGACTTGTATTTTGCCCCTAATTTTTATCATCCAGGCCGATAAATGCTCATACCCTGTTATTTAGTGGGTTAATCCATTTTTTTAAATGATAATGTTAAAAAAAAATTCAATTCAGAATAGAACTTGAATTGGACTAAATTTTGAATTGGACTAAATTCTGAATCAACAGATGATCGGGTTAACCTTTTTATTATCTTGATCAGATTTTATAACTATACTCGGTTGAGTTTCGCCACTGCATCCCCACTATTACTCGTAATCTTGCAGTGGCAGGAGTGTCGGCCACCGCACGTTATTCGCTGCGGAGCATCAAGCATCTTTGCTAGCACGCGCAGAGCCGAGAGATATTTTCAAGGTTTTTAAAATTTTTCCATCACGACAAACTTGACAAATAACATTCACGTTAAACTCGAACGTGGTTTCTGTTGCTGGAGTCGAATACTGAACTGGGCTGACACATCGGGGCCTTCTTGAGCCATAACCCACCAAGAAGGTAAAGCCTGATCAGGTTTAAGGTCCTGGTCCGGATTCAAACTTCCTTCTGCACTCTATCTTTATACCTCGTTATCTTTCTCATTCCGGCCTCTAAATTTCCTCCCACCCCCTTAATTACCCTCAATAAGAGCAGCACAGAACCCAAATTCTTAATACATCTAAACGACAAATTCTATCATAGATTTTTTTTATTTAATTTTTCTTAAAATCTCATCCGGGAAGCTTGCCTTCTTAGATCCGCGACCAATTTTGTTTTGCCAGCACTCCTTGAGTTAGCAACCTTACTCGGTGAGGCAAAAGTAAACTTGCACGCTTCAATGCGTAATTATCCCCTTTCCGAGGCCGAAATAGAATCCTAGCTTGAATAATTGGGGCTGGTTTTTCTTGCAAGCAACGTATCACTCACCAGATCACTGTCACACTTTACTTTTATTGATCCTACAAAAAGAAAGAATAGTGTCATAGTCTAAGGTATAACTTCCCTGTTGATGTTTTTGGTAGAAGAAAGAAACAGGAACGAAAAGTGTAACGGGCACGACTTTAACTTGTTAATTTAATTGCTTCTTTTTTATTTTTTAATATCTTCTGCATCTTTCCCTTAAAGGTCTTCAAGGAACAAAAGAATCGTATTTTATGGAAGAAATTTATTAGGTACAGATGTGATATATTCTCGTTAAATGCAAAAGCATAAGATTTATTATGAAAATTATGTAGAAATCTCACGTTCATGTGAACTGCACTGCAATGTGATAGTTTTATCCTTGTAATAAATCTGGCATGTAATAAAATTCTTGGAATTTTGTTAGACTATTGTTTTTACATAGCTATGCAAAAAATCAAGAACTAGGGTGTTTACGTTGTAATTACGGGACACTTAAAACAAAGGAGAAAAGTACAAAGAAAAAAGAAAGAAAGAAATAATATTTAATCTAAAGAAATGATAAAAACTTTCCCTTTTATCTTCCGGTATTACAGCTAGAGTATCACAAAATTTATCAGCATAAATAACTTCACTTGCTCTCACGAATATAAATATGGAAGTGTGTGTTTCACTTATTCATCCAAAGAAATCTCTGCACCTTTATGTGTCACTGTTGGGTTCTTTCGGCAAGGAGAGGGTTACTTTCTTTTGCTCCTTCCCTTCCTAGTCCCACTTCAGCTGTTGTTGAGAAATGGAAAAGTTGTCAGGTTTAAGCCATCTCTTCATGACAATATTTCTGCATCATTTCTCAACGTTTATGGTGATCCCTGCCATTACTGATGTCACAATGTCGGCCTTATGCCCTGGAAGAGATGAGTGTTCTTTGGCCATTTACCTAACCGGATTCCAACAAGCGGTATGTTCTTCTGTTTCTCATTTTCTTTTTGCCCTTTCCCATTAAACATTCTTAATGATTTCACTCATGTCTTCACCCTTTCTCTGCTAATTGAAGGTCACGATATATGATTCTGTTCTTTGTTAATTATCAACCATTTGTTTTCCCATCAATCATTTACAGGCATAATATATCTTACTTCAAGTTTAGTCCTTGAAATTCTGGTTAAAGAATCAAACATATATTCTTCTTGAATCCAAAATCCCGTATCATGAGGCCACAGTGTAGTGTATGCAGTTAACAAAAAGAGTTTCTCTGTCCTCTCTGCCTCTCCAATCATAGGAAGTTTCCTTTCAGTTTCAGTAGATATACAGTTTGGATGCACTTGCCACCGTATGCGGAGAATCTGCTAACCGCTAACTCATACCCCACCTTTTCACTTTTCTGGTAATTTGAGTTTGATACAGTCAACTTTAGGGTTACCCCATGTTAACTTGACATAGATTAGAAGAAGCCTAACCAAGAATTCTGCTGGACTGATCCATCTCTGACTCGATATGAAATGGGCTCACTCAAAACTCACACGCCTAGAGAAATTACGGTACATGAGTACGAAGCAGGTTCTTAAGAAGTTCAGGACGAGAAATTCAAGCCATAATGAATCCTTTTACACTGCCACTGGTCTTCCTGCTTCGGTTGTGGTGAAATCAAGACAATAAGAGTTAGAAGTAACTGACTTTACAAGGTTGCTGATTTCTTTGACATATTTTTGGAATAGTGGTAGTTTTGCTGTCATGTGCTAGCGTTTACAGCAGTGAAATTGACACCCACTACCTCCCAAACGCTCAACTACGATAGTGAGCTTTAAATGTCAGATGCCTCGAGCCTAAACACAAGACAAATTTTTTCCAGGTTATATGTAGACGTTATTTACTGGTGGTGCTTTAATAGCATGTTTTAATTTTATAGGTTTTGGCACGTAGCTTTTGCTTTTGCTTTAGTTAGTTCCTTCGAGCCTCCGCATGCAAGCAATGGGAAAGAGAGAGGAAAAACTTTCGGCATTAAGCCATCTTTTCTTGACTCAATTTCTTCACTCCTTCTCAACATCCATGGTGACTCCAGCCGTGACTGATGTTTTTATGTCCGCACTTTGTCCTGGAGAAGATGAATGCTCCCTGGCCATTTATCTAAGTGGACTTCAAAAAACGGTAATTTTTGTTTTTTATTTTTTCTTGTTGTTATCAATTATTCTTGTTTCTTTTCAGGTGTTTAACCCTCAACCAAGCATCCTCCCAAGTTGAATTTCTAGTCCTCGACCGTGCTAAAATTCCTTTCCATTTCAATCTACCAAAATATAAGCTTAATTAGTGAGTTTGTGCAAGAAGAAGAAAATTTTTCCTGCTAATTGTGCTTATTGTTTTTAATCAAAAGCATTTTGCATTTAATTTTAGGCCAACAATAGTGACTGCTTTTAAGGATAATCATGTTATAAAACTCTCCAATTCAAAGCATGAAATTGGTGGAGTCTATTATCTATCTAATTTCTTCCATGCATATGCTGTTTTTTTTTTATTAGGCTCTGATTATAATTTTTTTTGTTAGTGTTTTTGTTTCTGATTTTTTTTTCAAAATACACTTGATTTAAAAAAAAATATATTTTTTAATAGTCCTAATATGTTAATATAAAAATATTTTAATATATTTTTAAATTAAAAATATTTTTTTTTAAAAAAGACAATGCTACGTGCAAAGCTTTGGCCTAGTCTATGGCATGAATTAAATCAACCTCGTGAAACGAAACTTCCCATGGGTGTCACCAAGCCTTTTAGCTATTTCAATTTAAAATTCTTGTCAAAGAAAATAAAATATCCAAGTGTCTTGTCTCTAAAAAGCATCACCTTTGAGGACCCACGATCACATCTTGCTTACAAAATTGGGTTCCGAATGCCGTGTTTTGTAGTTCGTTGGAAGTACCACAGCTTATTGGTTACTTTTTATAAAATTCAAACCTGAAACTTAACAACAATCTTAAGCACAGGACCGTCTCCTGAGGAACAATGACAATAGTTGACAGTGACATGTAGGTTGTCGCAATCTCCCTTCTTTTTCTTTGGAACTCGTTTTTCTTCAAGAACTTTCGCTTGCCTGCCCTCTTATGCTCATATCTTTTCTTACATAGTTATACGGTCGGTCATGTATTGTTTTGTGGCTTAATCTAAGCTATGATTTGATGTCTCTGTAAAAAAAAATATTTAAGATAAGATGGACTTGGGCCGAGTCAAGTTTTGGGTCGGCGGGTTACTTGATTAACATGCCGGCCTTTGAGGTTTTTCATTTTTTTCACAGAAAGAAGAAAGACTGGGAGCTTGGAATTTCAGTTTAAAAAACTCCAAAAAAAGAAACATTGTTCGGAATGGAAGTAAAGAATTGGTGGCAATCAATAAAGATGCCTTGTTTTATGCAGATTATAGGGCTTGGGACGCTGGTAACGATGCCTTTGATAGGGAACATGTCGGACAAGTATGGTCGGAAAGCTTTGCTTACTGTTCCAATGAGTCTTATAATAGTTCCCTCAGGTAAGCATGTACTGTTTCGTTGGATTCCAGGAGATTTGCTATGAATGATCGAGCGGTAATTCAATAATCTACTGTCCTCGAAGAGTAATTAAATAATAACTCAATACTTGCAATTTAACAAAATAAATTATTTAATTCTTTTAGTTTTGGAAACTACTACCTATTGGATCTGCCTATTTCTGCATTTGTTTTTAATTCAATCTTCCTTTTTGTCAATACCATATATATATATATATATATATATATTGTTTTCCTTCATTGAAAATGAAGAATAAAGAAAAAAGAAAGGAGGGAATTTTGATAAGAAAAAAAAAACGTTTTTGAAGAAAAAAACTATTACCTAAAAGATTTGTAAGTTTATAAACTGTCATGATTGACGCATTTCAAGCTTCCTATATATAGCTCTACTTTCGTTGTTATAGGTTGGGGATTTTCAACATTATGGTTGGTTAGTCGTTATTTGATTGTCAATATATATGTATAGAAGCCTGCTTCAATCAAGTCAGTTGAAGAAATTTCAACGTAATGGGTGGTTAGTCGTGATTTTACTTGATTGCGAATACAAGCTGTTCCAATAAAGGAAGATGAGGAAAAAAAAAATAATGACAAGAACTTTAGAACAATTACGTTGATTTAATCCTAATCATTTGACTAGACCCCCTTCAATCAAAGAAAAGGAGAAGCTCATGACATAAACCGTTGAATTTAATTACAACTAGTGTCTCTTTAGTATTATAATACAAGGTATTTTTTAAAAATATTTTCATTTAAAAATATATTAAACTTTTTTTATTTTTTTTGGTCATTAATATATCAAAACCATTTAAATGTACCAAAATATAGATTTTAAAACAAACAAAAAAAATGTACTAAGTGAATCTAATTCACGCCATCATTACTGAATTAATTAGCAAGACCGAAGTCAATTTTCTTTTAATCGATTTCTTTAAGAAAATGCTTGCGGGAACCGTACTTGAGTTGAAATATTATTGCAGCCATACTGGCCTACAGCAGGACCAGGAACTTCTTTTATGCGTATTATGTCGTCAGGACTCTCGTGTCCATGGTCTGTGAAGGAAGCGTCCAATGCCTCGCTCTCGCCTATGTTGTAAGCACCTTCCCACCCCTTCTTTCAAAGAGTATTATTGTACATTTATACTTGTACCTCTGATGGATATACCGTATGGCTTGGTATTTTCTTTCCACAAGCTGTAAAGCCCACCATTTTTTTAGATTGGTTAAAGCCTAACATTGTTTCTGGATCATGCTCAAACAGGCCCAATGTTGTAAAATGAACGTCTGCAATTATTTGCTAAGCAGCGCTGCGATTCGTCCGTGTCAGTCACACTTGTTGATATAGTTATCAAAATTGGGTCTGAATTGGTCAAGGCTCGGGGTCATGATTTTGTGAAGTGAATCCATGATTAACATGTTTGTATTTTAAAATAATATCATTTTAAAAAAATTAAATTTGTTTTTATAGATTTAGATCTATCGGACCACTGGACTTTACCGGTCAATATCCATCATGATTGGAAAAAAAAAAAAAAAACCTAACCTGGGCAAGATTCGACATATTACCGAATCAAGATCGAAATTAGTGTTTGTTGACCGATGTTCAGCACTGAATATTGTCATAGAACAGGCTTGGAATCGGGTCGGTTGGTTTTGTTTAAAAAGTGAACTGGGCTAAAGTAAAATGAAACAACGCGGGTCATTATTTGTCTTCGTTTCCCTTTAGATCACCTCTTTCTATCTCCAGGCAGACAATGTTCCGGAGAATCGGCGAGCCTCGACGTTTGGGATTCTTACAGGCATTGCATCCTCCGCTTTCGTATGCGGAAACCTCTCCACTCGTTTCCTCTCCACCTCCTCCACCTTCCAGGTACAAAACACACTCTCTGTCTCTCCGTTTCCGTCTCCTTTTCTTAACGCTTTTATCATTAACTTAACCTTTTCATCAGGTTTCTGCCTTAGTGGCAATCGCAGCTCTAGTGTACATGAGGTTTTTTCTTCAGGACTCCATCATCGATGAACAACTCTCTACGCCAATACTAACAAATAAGGGGGACGGGAAAGGAAAAGGAAAAGCTAATGCTGCATGCTGTGCACGTGAAATTCCAAGCAAAAACGTGCAGGTTTTTAAATCAGCACCTTCCTTGGAGGATATGCTCTGCTTGCTTAAGAGCAGGTTAGTGGCTCCTCCTCTATAAATCGTAAACTTTTTTTCTATCGATACTTCAACTGATGAATATGTGGGAGCAAGGGAATTTGTGCCAAGGCATTCTACTTGTAACAAGTGCTTGACTTTACTCGCTTCTGAAGTTTTTCTGGAGCTTCCGTTTTCGCAAATATTTATATGTATAGTGATTATATGCAGTGTGACCCTTTCGCAAGCTGCTGTTGTTGCATTTTTCTACAGTCTTGCGGAAGTTGGCCTTCATGCTTCATTAATGGTACTTTCCTAATTACATGAATTAGGCTTACGGTGTGTTGTGAGAATGATTCGATATCATTAGGCGCTGCCCACATTATCATTTGGGTTTAAAAACAAATTCATCATATTTATGTATGAGACTTAATGGTAAGTTTTTCTTTGCAGTACTATTTGAAGGCGCAATTTCACTTTAGCAAGGATCAATTTGCTGATTTGATGGTGATTTCTGGGATTGCAGGGACCGTTTCACAGGTAATTGTAAACTCTATTTTGTTTCGGTTTTAATGACATTCTCTGTCACTTGTTTCCCATAGTGCTTTCCAACATAGAATTATTGCTGAACAACCTGCAGTTGGTTATTATGCCTTTATTGACTCCTGCTCTTGGAGAAGCAAGGCTGCTTGCAGTGGGGCTCTTTTTTACCTGTGTACATGTAAGTACCTTGGATTCTATACAATTTCAATTGAGCCCAAAATGTTATTTGAACCAGAATAATGTCCTTAACTAGTTGTTAGGTCTATAAGCTGTAACCTTTATGTCAGGTCGTGTCATTGAATAATTTATGGCATTTGATGCAGGTGTTTCTTTACAGCATAGCGTGGACCTTCTGGGTACTTCTTTGAAACTTAAGACATGACAACAAGCTTCTTCCTTCTATTTTTGGATGCCTTTTCTATTACTTTGTATTAGGCTTTTCAATTTTACTCATTGTTTCTGGTATATGCTTTCTCTAATTTTTGTCATGTCTTCGCATTGCTAACTTCTTCAAAGCTGATCCTTACAGGTACCTTATGTTGCTTCCATGTTCTCTCTTCTGTTTGTGTTTTCACAACCATGTGTAAGTAATTGCTTCATTTGTTACTGTGAAGTTCGTCTTCATTTAGCTTACAGCATTCTCTAAATAATATTACAAAGATAAATTGCAGATGCGAAGCATTGTGTCGAAGCAAGTAGGATCCTATGAGCAGGTACTATATTTACCAGTGCTTCAAGATTTTAGTCGGTAGACTGAGTCTTGACAGAAAATAATGCATGTTAAACAACAAATGAAGTTATCCTGTAGTTTGCATTCAATATTCTTCAGTTCAAGACACACCAAATGTCTTCTTATTTGCATATGGATATGGGTCCTGTTTGTGTAGCATGAGTGCCTTTAATGCTTATAATTCTCTTTTCCTTTTCAGGGGAAGGCTCAGGGGTGCATTTCTGGAATAAGTTCCTTCGCCAATGTCATTTCTCCCTTGGTTTTCTCTCCTTTAACAGGTGAGTGGAGTTTCATTTTTGAAATTATTTTCTGGCCTAAAGTTCAAACGAAAACTTAGAAAGTCAAAATTGTTTTCCAGCTTTATTCCTCTCTGAAAGGGCGCCGTTCCCCTTCCCTGGTTTCAGTATTATGTGCGTCGGATTTGCATCGGTAAGAGCTCTTACATTATGTTTTGTTAGTACTGAGCAATAGCCAAAGCTTAATCTGTTCTATAATGAGCTAGGAATCTAGTCAGTTTAGTGATGTGTACTGTCCAATTTAGTTGGGAGTTATGGTACCAGACTCCGTCAAACACAAATCTATTATGTCTATACTTAAGGCTTAGCCTGATCTGCCCATAAGTCCAGTCTATCCAACCTAGCCATAGTGTCTAGTTGACAGAGCCCATATGGAATTGATGAAAACTATGTTTAAGGCTGTCAAGTTGCAAGCTGGGATTGAATATAAAAGCACAAGAATACCCATAACTCCAGTCTGTTCAAACTTGGCCATGATACCGAGATGCAAACTGTCCATCTTATATCTATGAAACTTATGTTTGAGAGACTCAATTTGCAAGCTGAGCTTGAATTTAAAAGCATGAGAATACCCATTCAATCAACTGGACCTCGAAAATGGGGCTTCCCAGCTCAATTTTGACTCCCAGTTCTCCTGTATCTTATTGTGAGGATTATGTGCATTTTAATCTTTGCAGGACTCTGCAGGCTCTGTGTGTTTGCTATTAAACGCAGTGTTAGCTATTTACTGATAATTTTCATGCTCTTTAACAATTTTATGTAGATGATAGCCTTCATTCAGAGTCTCATGATGAGGACCGCTCCTCCCATTGCAAATCAAAAGGTCGTTAATGCCAACTATGTGGATGCCTAGTTATTAAAAAGGTTTCTCAAACAACAGTCATAGCTTCTCTGTTTTAAGCTGAGCCCTAGTGTTTTATATCTTATCCTCAAAACCTCCCTGGTATATTTGTTTATGGGGAGCACTAGAAACCAAGATTGGAATTTCTAGAATCGAAAGTCTCGTCTAGCTACAATGGATCCATGCCAAATGTAAGTGCCAAACCATTTCATCTCCAGACCTGAACCTCCAAGAGTAGACAGCAAGATGCCAGAGCTTAAATTCTGGATGGCATTAGTGTCAGGTGTTGACAGTGTAGTTTGTATTATTATATAGGGTCCGTGTATCGCTTGCCCGAAAAGTAACAAACAACTTAATATATGGGAAGCAATGTATACTTTTTTTTTCATGTGCACTGTTCTCCGAGGAAGAAAGGGAGATTTGTAAAGTGTAAACGGATTGTTGGTGTTAAGCCAAATATAAACTAGTTTGGCTCCCTGCAAGCAGATTCTGGGACCCGTGATCTCGACGTAAAAAAATTATTTTTTTCTTATTAATCTGCATGTCTTGAGAGATCAAGCAAGGTTTTTGGCATTGACACGTGACATTAAATTTAGAGATTAAAGTCCAACTAACAAAATATAAAACATGAAGTATACACGAAGTTGAGCGCCACAAGTTTTATTAGGTTCCACTCGATTCAAACCTGGTTCCAGTCATTGAGTAGTTGAGTTATTTTATTTTTGTTTTAAATTTTAAATTTTTACTTGGTTTAAATTGGGTTTAACTGGTTAATTAAATCATAAATTAATATATTATGTTATTTAAATTTTGACCCAATCAATATTAAAATTAATTTAAATTAAAATTCAACTCAACTAGTTTGTTGAGTTAACCCATCACAATTTTTAAATCCAATCCAGTGATTCACTTGAGGTAAATTTTAAGTCACAAGATAAATAGTTTAACTTAAGTTAATTTAAATAAATTTATTTTTTAATTTTTATAAAAAATTTAAAATAAAAAAATATAAAATCAATGAGTTTTAATTAATTTTTTCTCGAGCTAATCAGGCCATGATTGAGCTTTTAATAGGAGTACATTGAATTAATTCTCTTTTATTTTGGTTAATACATGACCCAACCTAGATCTCTAGTTACAAATCAACCTACCGATTCAAATCAAATTTTAAAACAATAACTTATCAAATTTAGCCAAGTGATAGCTATTGCCTGCATTCTGTTGTGAGCCAAAAAAATTTCCTTGCAAAAAAAATTCTATATGTAAGTTTTTTGATATATTTTTGTACATAAAAAATTAAATGCATATTAAAAAATTTATTTACATATGTAATCAAATGTATCAAGAATTATGCATGTTAAAAATAATAAAAAATTATTAACAATAATTAAAATTAAAATTAAAAAAATTAAGAGATAAATATAAATCAAAATATTTAATCTTCTAAGACGGGATATTTACCTGGTAGTCTTTAATGAATTTTTTTATTGAGATAAATTTTTTATTCAATCAAACAATATTAAAAATAAACAAACATATTAAATTGATTAAATAAAATAAAAGTTAAAAAGTATTATGCAATATAGCATATATTAGAAATTTTATCTAAAAATAAATATTTTTTATTCTAAAAAACAAAGTTCTTGTATACAAGATAAAAAAATATTATAGATGAATCAAAATAATATTTTTTTAAATTAAATATGCACAACACTATAAACAATTATTTGTCCAAAAAAGTTTAAATAAGCAAAAAAATAAAATCACATATAAGGAATATTAATTGAAATATAAATTTAAAATTTATTTTTAAAAAATATATGTTAAAAAAATATCAATTAAAAAAATAATATTAAAAAAAATAAATGAAGTGTTGTAGCTTAACTCATTAAACTTGTGACCCAAAATATAAATTGAACTGGGTTCAATAAATTTTTTTACTTGTAATGAATTTATATTTAACTTAAAAAAAAGTCAAGGAAGCCCAAACTAACTAGTGTACTTGAACCATTGCAATGAAAAGGCTAGGAGTGTTGGTGAGCCTTCAAGCTCAGGGTTAGGGGCTTGCATTTTTTTATTTTTTGATTTTTAAGAAGTGAATAACAAGTTATTTATTTTTTTTTTTAAAAAAATAAATGATACATCACTCATTAAAGTAGATGACATGTTGTATATAAGAACAATTCTAGCCATCACAATGGAGTCTATAAAATCAAGGTAACAACTCTTTTGGTCAAAAAATTCAATTTTAAATCATTTTAATCCAAAAACACTTTACCAATACTCTTATACCACCCACAAATCATTTTGTGAACTTTAAATACAAAAAAAATAGTTTAAAAAATAAAAATCAAACTAGGTTAATTTTAACTTTATCAACTTGGATATATTTTTTATGTAATATTGAGATTTTAAACAATTATCATGAAACCTCTCTCATTTCATAAAAACCATGGGCACAAAGAAAATTCATTTTAGAGGTTGGAAATGGAATGAATGATAATTTTTTTTTATTGTTGGAATTTAACAACCTATCTTTTTAACAAGGAATTGAAAAATAACACAAACAAACTATATATTAAAATTAATTTTTTAAAATATAAGGAATCTAAATTATATAAATTTTGTTATTTTAAATATAGTGTAATCTCTAGTATGCTTTTTATCTCTTTTTTTAATTTTAAAATTAATTAAAAAATTAGAAGCAATTCATTTTTAATTAAGATAAAATCACATGAAATAAAATCATGAAAACCAAAATGAATTGTTAGAAGATAATGTTACGTGGGTGTTTGGATGGTGCCAAGCTACAGTTAATCAGGCACGCCTTTTAATGTATTCTATGATGTAATAATAGCTATCGTGCACACGGGGGATAAGAAAACGCAGCAAAGTAAATGGTTTGAATAACCCATACGTTACAGAAATGAAGAAGGTTTCTATCCTCCTCGACCCCACGTCATCAGAGCTGCCACGCCACGTGACAACTCGTGTTGGTAACTATCTGCATTTAAGGAGGTGTTAATTACGCTTCAAGAAGCATCAGATTAGGTTGGCAAATTTCTTGATTTTCTTCATTTTAAAATGAAAAAAAGTTTTTTCTTTCTTATTTATTGCCGGACCATCACATGATTTTCGAAACTCACAACTGTCCAGCATCACCCACACAGGATCATGAATTTGAATTTGTTGTAGAGTACCCTAGCCAGTTTATGTTTTTTAAAATATTCTTTATTTAAAAATATTTATTTTCTTCTAATTTTAAAATGAAAAATAATAAAATGTTCAATGTACTTTTTTAAATTAGGATAAAAATCCATTCTTTTTATTTAAAGGAAAAGATGCAAAGCATTCTTGGACTAATATTTATAATGGAATAAAGTTTAATCAAGATATAAAATTCTTAAAATATCATTTATATCTAAATAATTTTAATTTAAAAAATCAAATAAGAGAACAAATCTCCTTATCATCTTTCTTATTTATTAAAATCATAGATTCAAGAAAAGACATGGCGGGAAATAAATAATTAATTTATTAGTTATGTCAAGCCTTAAAGAGATGCTATTCCACAAGACAAAATTAATGGTGCCTGACCAAAAATTTACAATTGAATAATAAAATAAAAATATTTTTCTTTTTAAATTTTAGATTAGTCAAGTGGGTTTCTAACTATTGAGTCAATTAATTTTCTACTGTTTTTTTTTTAATTTAGACCAGTTTAAATATTAAATTAACCAATCTTAAATTAAGCCATCAAATCAATCCAAGTTATATAACTAGCTTGTAAGCTAAAACAAAGCTATTTCCTTTTTAATTCTTCTACACCAAATAATAAAATAAAAAATTATTTTTTAAGATCTTAACTGCTTCATGTATGAAAGTTTTAATTAGATCAATGAATGAATGAATTAATTTTAAATTTGAATTAATCTATATTTTAAATCAACCATTTTCTACGAGCCAATCCGAGGTATATACCTGTTGGCTAAAACAAAGCTCGTCGCTTTTTAATTCTTTCACGCCAAAGTCAACTTGCCATTTTAGAACTAACTTCTGACGACATCTAATTAACTTCTACGATCAGGTAGATTATTTATTTAATGTTTTGCACAAACACAACCATCATTACCATCCACGTGTCACTATATTCTTCGCTGTTAATACAGCTCACACCGCCCCAGACTCTCTCCCCCGTTTCTTTCTGCGTTCTCGAAGCCATCAGTTAAAGCCCTGCTTGGCTTCATCGGAAAAACCGAGAAACATACCGCGATACAGTTACTATAATTACACTTTTAGTATCCGAGATTTCACGTTCCTCGGCAAGGTTTTTTGGCTTGCTTTTAGAATGGCAGCAGCAGACAATAATCCGAGGACAGCAACGTCGATTCTCCATGGAGACCTCGAATTAAAAATAATCGAAGCTCGACGGTTACCAAACATGGATTTAGTATCAGAGCGTCTCCGTCGGTGTTTTAGCGCATTCGACCCGTGCCGGCACCCATTCTCTAAAGAAAGAAAGAAACAGCAAAACCATCGACACAAGATCATTACCAGCGACCCGTACGTAACAGTCTGTGTCTCGGGAGCAACAGTCGCTCGCACGCGAGTGATTTCAAACAATCAAAACCCGGTTTGGAACGAACATTTCAAGATTCCTTTGGCTCATCCGGCAGAAAAGATTGATTTTTACGTGAAAGATAATGACATGTTCGGTGCTGAGTTGATAGGGACCGCAAGTGTTGAAGTTGAGGAGATTTTGTCAGGTGAAACGATCAGTGCTTGGTTTCCCATTATTGGAATGTACGGAAAACCGCCAAAAACTGATTGTGCCCTTCACGTCGAGATGAGGTTTACGAAATGTGAGCAGCCTGATGACAAACTCGGGGTTGAGAATTGTTATTTTCCGGTGAGGCATGGAGGGAACGTTACCCTTTATCAGGACGCGCATGTGCCGGATTCGGGCTTGCCTGAGATTGAATTGGAGAACGGGAATGTGTTTAGGCATGGGAAATGTTGGGAGGATATTTGTCATGCTATAGTAGAAGCACATCATTTGGTATATATAGCTGGTTGGTCGATTTTTCATAAGGTGAAATTGGTGAGGGAGCCTTCGAAGCCATTGCCGAGAGGAGGGGATTTGAATTTGGGAGAGTTGCTCAAGTATAAATCACAAGAAGGTGTGCGAGTTTTGTTGCTGGTTTGGGATGATAAGACTTCCCATAATAAGTTTTTTCTTCGTACGGTATGTTTTTATTTGACTGTTTGAAGATTTTTTTTTTATGGGATAAGTTGTGTTTTTGGATTCTTGGATTTTGTTTTTTAATTGATGTTTATGATTAGTTCTTGAGTGGAAAGGACAGAAATAATTGGTGATAGCGATACCTGAGACTGGAATTTGTACAGTACTAGAATCTTGCTAAATTTGGAATTTGATGCTTCTGGCTTTCTTGAATTTGGATTTCTTTGTCTGTTTACGGTTGGTGTTTGATGGGTTAAAAAATTGAAGG